GCTAGCAATTCATGACAGAAGGAAAATAATAATCTTTTTTAGTTCAGTAAAACCAAGGTGTTATCAACGACTAACCAGATATGAATCGGTGATTTAATTCAGGCATAGTGCCCAACTGCATCCATATAACAATGCCTTTTCTCTCAACGTAAATTATCGGTCAGCCGAGGAACAACTAGGCTTAATTTGTCACTTGTTGAAAAAGTGTCCCACGAGTATTTGCTAGTTTCGCATGGAAAAAACATCAAACGTTAGTTTCACTTTCATTTCAGGCAGTCCTTCACAGCCTAAGTGGATAATGTTCTTGCTAATCGTCATGAATTTCGTGTGAAAAACTCAGACATTTCCACCAGGCCCTTTACCTCTCCCTTTCATTCGAAACATTCTGACGGTCTCCCTAGATTCTATAATTGCACAAGATAGTAAGTAAGCCACAGTAGTAAAATATAATATTTGTATAGCAGTCTACAAGCGCAGATTCGTTGGCGTTTTTCCACGGTGCGGATACGAGTAACAATCCACTGTTGCGCATGCGAGGGAGCAGATTTATTTGTGTAAGGCCAATTGGTCATTTCGACAATCATTCAGCTGCTGCACCTGATACAACAAGTGGGGCATTTTGGACAAAGTAGGACAAAACATATTAATACACAATTTTCACCAACGATAAATTATAGTGGTTTCTTAGAATTTATAACCAGCACATCAGATGAATACACTAGCCTTTTCTTGTATATTTTTTTAAGTGATTTTTTATCAAAGTTGCAACAAAAAGACCGATCCGTAGTCTGAGGACGTTGCCGGTTTCAATTAAATAAATATGGTTGTATTATATAATTGAAAGAATAATTCAAAAAACATATATAAGGGTTTTATAATATTTCGCTTTATGAAAGCTTACTTTTATTTTTGCAAAGCTCTTGAAAGTTGTAGCTAGACATCTTCGACATTTTGCTGATTTTATTCCGCTACTCATTAGTACTCTGAGCACATACCTTGGTCACTTTTTCTGCAATTATCGAACAAAGGTCATTTACATACTACAACTAAAGATCGTAGAATTATACTATTATATATCGAAGCCTAAAGAGTTTTGTTCAAAAGAATCAAAAAATAGCTCAGACATTCAGTCGTGGCTTCAACAACTGCTTATTTTGTGCACCTTGTTTTCGTGTATGTGAAGTTCAATGAGGTATTTTGACAAGCCATTGAAATCAGCTCTTTGTTTAGGCTAGCATCAAAGATCTGCCCTTATTAGGAGGCTAACCGAGATAGATCTTGTTGGACTGGTCTGGGGTTTCTCTAACAGACATATAAAACGGTATGCCAACCGTGTAAGCACACATTAGTGTTAATCAGAATTTCTGCTTTCTTCCTTGTTGACTCTTCTCCTAGTGATTAGTTTCTGGTGACTATTTCTAGCCAAGGCTGAGATTTGCACGAGCGTGCCTGCGTGCTTGATAATTAATGTTTTTTATGGCAACGCACTCAAAAAGATGCGCATTATCCATTTAGACCAAACTGCCCCATTAATGCATCGCTGTTCATCTACTAACAAAACCTACCCTGGAAAACAACACGGGCAGACACATTTACTAAAAAAAATTAAATCTCGAAAAAAAAATCTGTTATTGCCAACCCTTGTAGATGTAGTCAGTCTATATATGTGCCGCCCGGTTGTCAGCTTTTGGCTCTACGTCGACTGCTTTAATTATTGGGTTTTGCTATATGAGTTCACTATACAATTAAAGCAAAAGTTTATATCTTTAAAATCGTATACGGGGTAGCCTGCCCAATGAATCTTCGTCATTTCATCGCGGATGACTTGCGGAAATATAAGACGGTGAGAGTGAGATACAGAATTTGGGCTGTATCTCAATTAAAACTACCTAATACTATCCCTTTCTGGATACTCTGAGAGGTGTCGTGCTACTGGTGCTGATAGCGTAAGTACCGATATGAGCTGGCTTTCATTTGCCCCGTTTAGCTTCAGATCGTCTGCAAACACTATATATTTTGTATCCCACTTTCTAGAGCTTACTGCAGCTTAACAAAAGAATATACGTCTGTCCTTGGAATTTTTGGCGCCATAGGGGTACTTAAATCTTCAGCAACCGATCAATGGGTAGTGTTTGTACATAATACTATACATCCGTAAGTATTTAAATAAGTCTAAAATGGATTATATGACGCGCGTTTTCTCTCTGTTTCTAAGCAGTTTAATCTGTATCAAGTATTTTTTTATCAAGGAAGCGATCACGCGCCTAAGAGTGGTTACTAATGAGTTCGCAAATATAACATTGTGTTAAATTAATAGAACTTCGATAACCAAGCCCATTATATGAAAAAGCGCTCAAATGGACTGTTAAATTTGGAGATCCGTTGCTAAGGGTCCATCCTATGGTTATAGCTTTAACGAAGACTCTTTCAAGAATTTATTCGGACCGTATAGAAATAATATTGGCGGGCGGACGCACACGAGTTTGGAGCCCTGATCACTCAAGATGTTTAGGTATTTTTAAAGAAGTATTCTGCCAGCTGTAAAAGGTTCAGATAAATGGCTATAAGATCATTCAATAATAGGAAAAGCTAAATGCAGTTTGTTGGTTCGATCTTCTTTCCTCTGCCCTTCCTTTGTCTTCTTTTAGGATATTACATTCAGTGACTTTAACCCTTGTTGGGACATGATTATTTTTGTTATTTTTATGCTACGCTTAATCAATGAAGGCCTTTTCCCTAGACAACATCTTCCTGAAAAGACTAACTGTGATTCTATTCACACCGGCCGTACGTGTTTCCTTTCCACCATTGAGTAATTTCACAAGTGGCCGCGAGGGGGCGACCCCAAAGCCATGACTTCCCAACATGCCGGGTGAAAGTCTGAATGAATTTGTCGAATTTTTATGTGAGAAAATAAACAAATGTATTATTAGAACCTTGATCTCCTTACAGAAACAAAATAGCAAAGTCGATTAAGAAGGACCTAATTGCTACAAACAGACGATGCTACAGTTAGACTGGCTTTACAGGTGTTGGAATATAGCACGTTTGGCGAGGTGGGAAACCCGGAAGGTAACTTCGGCCATTTGATCTGGCAAGCATCAATTACGCCTGCCATCGGCCCGTAGCACTGTCAATCGAAGATTTGGGTCGGAAGAAAGTGAAATTTAAGAGGGAAAATACCACTTCTATCTGCTCTGCGTTTTCTCTAAATCGCGTTTCCCAGTTAAATATTAGGCGAATGGTAAGTATCTCAGTGTACACTTCATTAGCTTCAAAGAAATTTAATTATAATGTGTCATGAAAACAGCATCGGTCAAGGTGACGACATATGGGCAAAGTTTTGTTAGTTATCAAAAAGAACGGACAAGTCTTTAGTCAAGAATACTTCAAGTACTTCATCTCTATACTTCTATGAGTCATGCATCTTGTAAACAATTCCGTTTCGTGTCGAAAAGACGACAACAACCGAATGAGAAAAAATCGTCTACACAGTGAAATAGCTCTATACAACGAAGCCAACATCCTACACTATTTATTCATGTACTTTTAAAATATACCATGTAGCATCTTACATGTGTTACTTCAACTTGACAACTTTTCTGAACGATAACGACCTTCTCTCTGATGCAACCCTGCTATTACGGATCCTTTCCATTTCCATTGGTCAGTAGGCATAACATAAAAAAAATACTTCGAAAGTAATTTGATTGAATAATATTATTATAGAATAAGTCAAACAGACGCAAAAAAGCAAATTGCAGGAAAAAAAATTGAACCCTGAAAATGTTGACCCTAAAAACAGTACCATCCAGGTTTATGTCTATCTTCTAAAACGTGAAATTATCCCGTAATTGGCAGGATAACGACTTATTTTGATATTCTGGACAACTAGTTCGAATTCTACTATACGACAGGTACGGAAAAACCCATAATCATACAGCTCTATACAAAGTAAGTTAAAGTGGACAAACGATAATAAAGTTTTGTGATCTTTAAACAAAATTTTAAGGTGTAAATGGCGTATGAAGCAATCTGTATGTTACAAAATTCGGTGCAAACAAACAACATAACAATAAAAACTCGGTCGGGCTCTACAACAAGCGCATGCTCAGCAGTTCTAAAAAAACGCAATCAATAAATGGTCACGATTTCCAAAGCCATCCTGCGATCATTTGCACTTGTAATCAGCATGACTTCTTGATCAGAAGTTGCCCGCTGGGTTAAAACCGGCGATTTGTTGTTGTGCTATAATGGAGTGGTTGAGAAAAAGATGATCAAAGGGTTCGAGTACCAGCTAGGTGAAAGGATTCTGCAGGATCTTCAGCGACGACTTCAAGAGTTGACCAGTTTTAAGTACAACGCTATTTGCCGCGTAAAGAACTACGAAAAGTTTTTCTCAGTCGATAGGTCTCTGAGTCCAATTTTTGTCGTGCTTGAGCCAATACCTGCTATTCGACACAAAAGAGGGTAATTCTTGTGAGATCGTATTCAATATGTGTAGCAACAAACTATCCTGAACAGAGTACCCCGTGAAAGTGTTTAAACCTATTTTATCGATGTTCTATAAAAGCGCCGATCTCACTCGCACACTCGTGCATCCCGTTCACTAATCTCTGTATAAGACATACGGGGCAGAGCATATAATCCTAGACAAAATTTGACTGATAGTTCGTCGCATTCATCCGCTCTTCTTAGTACCCGAACGAAGCCAGTTTTTTTTTCCAAACAAAATAAAATACTTATAACGATCATAAAATCAGTGCGTTTTTTTTAAGCGAGAATTAGCTATGATCTGATATTCCTATGCTGGACGAACTGTCTTTTTTTGCCTGAAATCGATGGTCTTCCATGCGAGAAAGATTTCTCTGAGACAAACTGAAAGAAACAACAGTTCTATCGTATGCAAAACATTTATCTTAAATATTTGAAAAACTAGGTTTAAGAACAACTTCGAAGAACCTGTCCAGATTTAGCAAACATTTATTAACAATCTGTGTATTACGCCAGTTGAAATCAAGGTTGAGTGTGTGCAATGAACGAACAATAGTAATGAAAGGGTTCCCAGTCAGAAATGTATCTACCCCAAAACGTCGTCTGCTAAATTTCAAGCTAATTCAGTCAATTCAAGCCAAAAAATTAGACGTTGATCGTTATGATAACCTGCCAATACTATTAATAGTCTTTTTCTCATGAAGACTGAGCCGTTTACTTTTCTGGGCGATTCTTGATGTGTTCGTTGTTGGCTGAGATTAGTCTATGTCGACCAGTGGCGGCATATAATAATCGCTGAGCCACCTTTAGTTGTGCCTGAATTGTTTTTCCCCAAAGAGGCGAGTTTTGTGAAGCTTCCAATGATTGTTTTTGTCGTCTCTGATCTTTACGATTCGTTGCGCGCCGGGATCCCCTGCCATTGCCGCTAGTCGAGCGGCCTTTAATTAGTGCATCTTCATCGGACGGCGTTCCGATTACCGTGTTCACAGTGCCCAACAAGGCATTCAACAAATTCCGGATGAAATCGCCGCTGACCTAAAACAATTGAAAATATTATGTGAGAAGTAAAACTATTCGTCTGATGTTAGAGAGGCTCTCGTACGTGGAGCTGACATGAAATTTTATAAGGATGGGACGTTACGGTCTTTTGTCCTCGAGTGTAGAGATTTCTGATGTGAACTTTAGAAGGAGCCTGAGATAAATTAGGACAGAATTGATATCGCTAGTCAAAAGCTATATATACACGTTTGGACAACATTTTTGCGTGTGAGAACATGGATATGTCTGTTCAATGTAAGACAAAAGAAGCTTATTCATTAGTAGAACCATGACGGTGCCATGGAGAGATTTCAGCAGAATCCGGAGCAGTAGTAATACACACGATTCACATCTCGGCTGCAAGGAAACTATGAGTCCTTGTTCTAGAAGATATTTTCAGTCAAGCTTGTATTATTTGTATGCTGGCGTGAGGGCCATGTTGTCCTGCTGAAAAACGTATAATCTATCATTTGAGATAGCAGTCCCTGCCATTTCCAGGGTATGCAATTGAATTTTCGTAAATGAAGATATGCATTTCTAAAAGAAGTGCTGCAACATGATGTTTTCTTCACTAGACGAAATGTTTTAGTAATCGTTCCCATGAGTTCCTCTTTCGTTCACCGTAAATATATCCCGTCGCTGAAAAATCGAACAGAACTTTCGCCTCCGAGTTTGAGCGGACCTACAAGCAAAGGACACTGACAAGGTTTTGTAGGCATATTGACCTTAAAGAGGTTTCGGTTGGCCTGGACACTGTAAACATTGTGTTTGAGATTTCATAAGCAATTCGAGTGACTGCATGCGTAAACATAAAACTAAATCAACGTGCGCATCGAAATGCCGGGCTTCTTGAAAAGATTTTTAGCTCGTGAAGTTCGGGCCTTCTGTCAAGTTTCTTTTCGTTCTGATGCTGCCTACTCTCTTAACAGCAGCTTCGTGTTCGTTCGCAACGAAATAAATTTTTGATTTGGGAAATAAGAAAAACGTATATCTTTGTCGGGCGCTTCATCAAGGGACTAGCTATATTTTGTTCAGTGCATAGAACAATCGCTGAAAGCATGACCGCTCCGACATATAGCTTGCCAACATTTGTACCAGTTTATCTATGATTTAATAAAAAACATTGTACATATAATATTGTGTAAAGGGCATCAATCGGAATTTGTTTAATGGAACTGTACAACAATCGTAAAATATATATGCCCAGTCTCGAATTCTTCTCACCTCGAGTCCAACGAAAAGAGCATCCAACAGAGCTAGGATACCTCCATCATTTCGACCAACAAGGTCCTGGCCTAAGCGTCCCGTTTGCTGCGCGGCTCCTACTGCCGCCGTGATCAGGAACTGTAAGAAAATATGGTAGGAAATATCATGTACCAGATTATATGTTCGCTCGACAGGTCATATAAATATTCGGGTATTATTAGGGTTGCAAGCTGAAAGAGCTCAAGCCATCTAAATATCAATATGATATTTAGTGTAAGTACGCATATAGTTTCCTTGATTTAATGCACTCTCCTTTTATAAACTTCTCTTACGGTCGGCCTGTTAGATTAGATGCTTGACTGTTTTCAGATTTATTGTATTCCCATTGGGCTTTGAGTCGCTGTACGTAGGGCAGTATATAACATACCCACTTAAAGGTCAACAGAGAAATTTGAAGAGACGTTGCAGTCATACATAACGCCATACACAGATAGCAATAGCACATTTCGGCCTTGCTTTCTAGACTGCTTCGAATGTCAGAAGACATAGACAGCTGTACATAAAGCTATATAGAATACAAACCTCAAGGAAGTGGCTGAGCTGTAGCGCCACTTCACCTAGTTGTCTTTTCACGCGTCGATGCCCAGTGGGCTTTGTGTACACTAGATTCATTGAATTGTAGGTTTCATCGTCAGGCGAGATATGGGCTCCCAAAATTGGCCTCCACAGAAGCACCGCAACTAATATCACGTAGAACATGGTGACAGGCAGCAAGCGATTTAAATTACTGTCGCACAAGTCCCAATACGACTTGTGTAGTAAATTCAGGCACAATTTCCTTTGTTAGCAAATTTGCCAACTTAGAAACATTTATAACTGATGAGAAAAGTCAAATGATCCATAGAGGGTTAACCGAACGCATAAAAAGATGAATTACAGTTCAAAGAATACTGAACAAGCAGTACGCTGATCTAACGCTACTTTTGCCGCCCAAGAAAAACACAGTTTTGTTCAACAAGCATATTCATTTACGTAAACACTAAAATTGTATTTATTGCGTATGTTAAAATGCCCTCAAAATCGTCGGGTGAAACGACGTACGGACGACTGAAGGTACAAATTGTTATGAATTAGGATTTACGAAACACCCTCTCTGAAATATCTAAGAGCCGCGCTGCCCTTAACGGCACAATTATGTAAAACAGGAAAAGCTGCCGGTAGGAAAGTAAGCGCGGTTTGTGCTCAGTAACGAGCCTTCACATCTCATACAGTCGAGCGGAAACTAGAGGAGATCGGAGTGCTGTAAGATTATATTTTTTATGTCAAGGTCCAAGTAAAACATGAGCAATGTAATAATAAGTTTGCCTAAATGGGTCGAAGTTTGTCTATGTCACAGAACGTTAAATCAAGCTTCAATTAGCCTTGTTATGATGTATGCTAAAAGCGACGTTTTTGAAGGTTCAGTGATCCAATCCGTTCAACCAACTTCTGGTTCCTTCTATAGATCTAGAGTAGATCTTATAAAATTAGGTTTTATTTTAGGTTGTCGTTTGGGCATGTTCTTCTTTCTTCTAGGAGTGGCCGATCGTTATAACCATTGATCATCTGTAACGTTTACACTGGGCGCAGCTTTTGTGAAGGAGTTGATTCTTATCGAACTGCATTCAATGTAAAGGACACGTGCAATTTCAAAGTTGCTAACCAGATTATCAGTATTCTGCAACCTTTCCAGCTCAATTTCTCCGATTAAGTAGTCGACGCGTAAGTTGAAAACTCCCATCTGTGAAATATGGCTAAGCTAAAGGAAGGATTTGCCCATTGGAGAGTATCTGTGTAAAACAGTTGTGTTTATATGAACGTGTTAGTCTCGTTTATATTCGGAGTAAAATAGTTAACATCGATTACAGATCAAGTATTGATGCTAGCACCTTTTCTTATGAACGATGCTATGGTAACTAACCGTCTCGAACTTCTATGGGGTGGCTCATCATTTGCTATCGGCTTAGTGAACATAGTCGTACTCATATGGACTTAGGAAGCTAACCATATCATAGAAATACAAAGAAACACCTACAGTAGACACAAGTAGCAGTGTTTATATTTCTGCCTCTGCCACCCCTACTATTAGCAGTCCTCCACGTACACTTAATGACATCGCTCAGCTTCTTGGTCTGCTATAACATGACTATTAGTCGCTTTCTTCTCAAGCGGATTCATGTAACATCTCCATCATTTCGCACACAAGGGTCACTGGAGACACCTTCGAAAATACTGATATTAGCTTGACTTTTTGTGTAGTTGTGTGAGGAAGTAGTAGTGACTGCGAAACAAAACCGCAAATCAACAATGCTTTACAAAACGCTACCCCCGAAAGCCCCGTGCTTCCTCTGTTTCCCCCTAGCGTTGACTTCATACACTTGCCGACATATTTTTGACTCCATAGGCTTCGCCCCCTACCACTTAATTTACCAATCAATAATCTGAAGCTATCCACTGCGCCGGCCCTCACTTTATGACTATTCGGCCTACGCTGCAACTCGACTGGTTATCAAGAAATTTCAATATACTCTGATTTAAAATGAAAAACTGAACTGCAGAGAAATATGTCAACGCAGAATCTCTACCTTACTGAGACAACGTCGAAACGTACGTAACGAGTTAGGCCGCCTCATTACCCTCGACGGCCTCTGCGGCCTGTATCGTTGAAGCTTTCTGTGTCATTAGTTGCTTGATCAGCATTTAGTTCTTCGGCTGCACTGATGTCCGCAAAAATGGCCGACGAATCTTGTCCGTCTTTTTGCACGACACAGCTCCCAGACTGGCAAACTGCACGGCGTTCAACCCACCGACGCCTCTAAAACAGCACGAGCTAAGATGAAGTGCTATTTAAAACACCTTTGATAGCTTGGTGCAATTCTGTTTTGTACTATTATAAACATTCAGCCGAAAGGCCGCGAACTTTTCTTTTTCTCATTTGATGAAAATGATAAATACGGGTTTATGATTTATTCATTCTGTTGTCGGCAGTGTAGCTTTGAGGCAGATCGAAATTATAGCGATTCGAAACTCTGGTCCGTTTCTTCGGCCACGAGAGGAGTAGAAACCCAGGTAAAAGCCCAGCCAGCCGAATTCATTATTGCTTTGTTGTTTAGAAACGCGCTTGACAACCACAAGAAGCTCTAGTACCGAACGCTATACGGGTTAGCACTCATTAGTCCTGGCAGTTGCCAACGGGACAATATCCCCATTTCGTAACAAAAGAAACTAAGATTAAATCAGCTGGTCATCAAATAGAACAACGGTCACTATCCAGTCTGCTGCCAATTAGCATCCTTACAGCGAATAAGGTATGACCAATAAAAACACTACAATTATTCATTGGACTTTCACAAACACATCGACATTTCCATAGATTTAAAACAGAAATATGAAATCCGTTTAAGTGCATTGTATATTAGCTTAAGGCATGCTGACTCAGTCAGCTTCCAAAGCCAGGGGGGGGGGCAAACGCACAAAAAGGAGGGCACGTCAGCGAAGAAGTATTGATCATAAGATGTGCACGTGAAATCAATGACTTACGCCTGATGCCGTCGGCGTTGAATCATACTGATTTCATGTATGGTTTTTGGAAAGCCAACGCGACTAGTATGTTGGCAAACACAAGCTTCCTACGATAAGCGCACAAAGCAAGAGACAGTGGCCCTTAACTGCAATACACAAGAAACGTCACACAATCGACACGGCATATTGGGCCATAGCTATTTACTAGTATCGTTTATGATAACTGTTGATCTGAGATTTCGCTACCAGGTTTGGTAATTCTATAGGAAATCTGCTTCATAAAATAAAGCGCTCTCGCTTACACTCAATTTCCTAAAGTAAACTAAAAGAAAATTGTATTTGAAAGAGGTACGTGATAGAACAGGCAGAGCAATTTAAGATCTTGTACCACCTTAGAGATTTTTCAAACTCGTACGCTTAAATTCGGTGTACAAAGGCCATAAAATTTTGACGCTTTACTTTAGCTCAATGATGAACGTTCAATTATGTGGGTTGTAAGCCACGCTCAAAAATCATTTCTAGCTACGCGAATTTGATTTCCCTGAGTAGTGGGCATCGCGCGAGTTGAGCTTGCTTTATTGTTTTACGGTACTTTTTGGCTAGTAGTGCTCGCGCGTCCAGAACCGACTACCATACTTCAGTGCTAGTTTAAGAGCTTTTCGGCGCTGGCCACAATCGGATTTAGGAAGTTAGGAAGATTTTGCTACCTGTACACTGATTTCAAAAACACGTTTAAATTGATGAATCACCTAGGCCGAAAAAGGTCGACTAGTCGTTTTCAATGCACTGACCCATATGTAAGCATTAAAGCTCAGGTCTTCTGAACCGGGCAATATGTGTTTTTAGTTCATTAGTAAATAGGAACATTTTTCTCACAGATGTATTTATACTGCACATTTCATGGAGCTGCGAAAAATCATGGCACTAAGGTAAGCTCTACACACTCTGTGCTAGATTCGCGTTCATCCATGTTTGTCTATTGGCCGTCAGCTGCCCTATACGCTATCTATTTGACCGTGGACGATATACGCCATTGTCTAAAATGCTGCTTTTATCAAACTGGCAAAATGCGGCCGCTTTTACCATTGACCGAATGTAGTCGCCATGGAAATGATACGAACGCACTGCGGAATGTGTTTCGGCCTGTGACGCGCAACAGAGCCTATCGTATCAAGCCAGATTTACGCTGTCTAGACGATATAAACAGATGAGCTGTCACCAGTGGAGATCTTCAACTGATGATCCGGAACGACTTCGCATAGCCCAGTCGGGCTCACGGAATGTCGCAAATTAGCTCCGCAATTAGCTCGAATACGGTATTAATTGCCTATCCTAAACAGAATCACTTTTTCGCCTACCGTTTTGTTTGTACAACGACGACCACCCTAACTGTATCAAGCTAAATTTAGCTTTCGCATTAAGGAAATCATTTGTACTGTACTTCATATTGCCTGCCCGTGATTGTGTATTCTCCAAATAGGGAGAAGTAATTTAACTCTATTTAGAAATTGGCATGTGGGCCCGATGATGACACGTATAGCGGTTTCCAAACTTCGAAATAGACGCATTCGCAAATCAAAGATACAACCAAATTTTTCGAAATTGTGAATGGTCATAGTTAACGTGCGATTAATTTAGTTCGTTGGATGCGTCTCTGAAGGCTCGGAGATAAATCATACGGAGTACATACTTCTATGAAGTAGATGCGTGTGCCAAATACCGGAACGTTTATTGTATTTGCTTTGTGCCGTATTTCACCTGCGGCTTGATGATTCCTCGCGAGGAACGAGTAGATATTGAGCTGTGTGTTGTATGTCTACGAAGAGCCTGTCAGAAACCTACTGGATGTTTTTATGGAATCGACGTAATGCGTGAGGTTGTCACCTGTTTTTCTGACAGCGACAATGCCGTCCAAATGCGATCAGTCTGCGCATAATCATCAATTGGGCAAATCACTAAGTTTGTTAACTTCCCTGCACGAATATCAGTGTAGTCATATTTTAGAGTTATATGCCTCTACTGCGCAACAGGAAAAACTGACTGATTTTTGTTGTTAGTACCAGTTGGTCATTAAAGCAAAATGCTCGTCTTTAGTATATTATACCACCAATCGCGTAGACGGTATCTGAGGCCTCTACGTATATATAGATATATATATATATATACATATATATGAACAACGTTCCATTAGCTGTCCATGAAGCACAGTGATAAGGTTGTAAGTAGTCTAGACATTGCAGACGACTTAAAAATCCTTTGTGACAACAAAGTACACTACATTGGCTTTTTTTTTTAACATACATACAAAACAACTTTCATATTATCATCGCTGTTCATACAAAAACAAATACATTAACGAAAATGAGCGAAGACTGATTTTTGGAATCATGAAGGTTAAGTCGACGAATGAATTTATTCACACTCGCACTCGTATCAAGTGCGCGACCCATTTTGAACTAAGCGAAGACCCAAATCTGGGAGAGTGTTCAAAACGTCTGACAGTATACCCTAATTGCGTTTCTTCAGTTTCATCACGTTTTTGAAGAGCGTCAATGTACAGAGGTCTTTTTCACTATACGTGTATATATATACACTTGGCTCAGATTATACGTTACCTTTTTGTTTTTTTAATAGAAAAATGCAATTCCATAGTAGGCCAACGCTGGCAGTCCTGGCGGGATGTCATTGGCGTCTAAAGGTGAACGTGTGCGTATGGCCGAAACGGTGTTGCGGCCGAGCGTCTGAACGCAGGCAACAGTAGCGAGAGCAAGTATCGCTATTGAGAATCAACATTATAAGATCGGCCGGCACCACTGTCAACGTTATCGTCATTATGTCCAGTGGATCAGGACTTCTCTTCGGGGGCCTAACAGCCGCCGGGGAGGGTTGACGCGGAGTGAATGAACCTTTGATTGAACGCAGCTGTGAGCCATCGCTTGGCTTAAATTGCGGCTAAACTTCAAATCATTTCTAAATTATCTGGTACTGACGTTTAAGATGAACTTCTCGGAAAGCATCTATCGAAAAAAAAGGTAACTGTCTATTAATTCTGTAGAATAAAATTAATGTAAAGAGAGACCATGATAAGGAATCTAGCCTGTGATTAGTATATATACAGCGTAGTTTTGTCGTCTGGTGCTCGACCGGTGGAGCTGTCGGCCGTTTCAGACATATGTATAATGGTAATTCTAGAGATGTACATTCTGTTATCAATTTCCAAATGACTATAGGAACTCTCTAGTTGCCGTCTTCGACAATGTGCCGATAAATCTAAGCGGATAAAATGAAACTACAGATTGAAGACAAATGTTGAACCCGTACTGTACCTCCTAATAGTGAAGCCGCCTATAGGCTTTTCCAATCTACCTGTATGCGTGCTTTCTAAGCCCATTTGTAATCAGCTGCTATCCTCAATCTACAGTTATTCTGAAAACAAAACACACAACTAAATAATAACTGTAAGCAGTTGAAAAGAAAAAATAGAACGAACGTTTTATAATCGGGCGCATATAACACTGACCATAAAAATTTCGACTCTGTGATTTTAGCAAATTATTTGAGTTCTTCATTCCGGCTCACTACACAGACGCGTTCAGCCAATGTACCATTACGCTACGTTTAATGTAAGTGCCATATTTTTCCCATTTATCCTAGTCATGGTACAGGCATTGCATGTATATAAAAGAAAGAATTTAGCTGACTGGTTTCCGCTTCCGATTTATTCCTGTTAAACTCAAGGTTCAGCGCTGTTCTGTTCTGAAACGGTTCAATCATCCTCGATCTCTTGAAGATCAAGTCCATAAGCGTTCAGTTCTTCCACTAACCTCAATGGTTTAACCTTGCACGTTCTATACAAGACGCAAAATGAAGACAATCTTGTTTGACGGACGTTATTTGGGATATGGATTTACGATGGACGGAACTACTGTTGTCGTTCAAATTCTGACGCTGCCTTTGCGAACACTGAGTAGGGAACCGTTAAATGCGGTCAAATGCAAAACTATAGTTAGAGAACGCGAGATCATTACAGATAAACTCTGCAATGATCTCGCGTTCTCTAACACGGCGTTGGCTAACCGTGTCTTTCTGTCTGCTAGACACCGTACGCCCTATATATATATATAATAACTTTTACTTGGACGAAACATTATTGTTTTTGCTATGGAGCGTGCATTTTGAATACCCTAATAGACAACACCTAACCAACTGTCAAATTCGTTAAAACCTAGCTTGGCGTAAATTCATTTCCACCAACTTATTCCTTTACCTGCATAGCGCAACTACGCTGTCCTATAAGGCATGGCTGACTTTCAGGATGATACCTATATGTACCCACTAAATTTTACCACAAAAAAATATCTGGTATTAACGATATCGCCTCCGAAAACCAGTTGGTAAAACGATTCAGAAATCTACGTTTCGGCCTCTGACCGAATCACTGACCAACTCGAGCTGAAGAAGAAACATAGCGACAAATAAGAACGCGTCATTTCTTAACGTAAGGTTTATTCAAAATTAAGTATGATTATTAGTACGATTTCTATTGTTTTTATGAATTGTTCTCTGTTTTTTTTTTTTTTTTTCGCCATTTACGCATATATAACAAAACGCTATCGAAATTCAAATTTGTAGAAAAACGTAGGGGGAGAATATCAATGGGCCCTTTACGAAAAATGAAAAGTAACTCTATGTACAGAGTGCGATACGCTTTGATGTATCTTTGTCATATAATTAGGGAACTAAAGAGAGGATTAAGTGAATACGACGTTTTCAAACGATGAAATTTTAATGGAAATCTGTGTGTCAGGTTATAGCGTACACAAAATGTCGAAATTAAAAATAAAGCGGAAGCAGCATTGCGGTTAGTTTGGATAAATAAAATGTATCGTGAACAATAACTTAAATTTCTCCATCTAGACCTCACTCCTAAATGTGCAAAACACCTGTCATGAAAATGGAGTTCTTGTAGCCAGAAGCAGGCTGTGATTGATTGATGGCCATAACACGTGACATGTATGACGTGACCGTCTGTGAAGATTTCTTCTACTTACAAAATGTATGACCCTAACTCTTTAGGTTAGTGATCTCGAGTCGTTTTCAAGCATATAAATTACCGCAAGGGTTTACTTTCACATTGCACCAAGATCCGAGAGAATCCAGTTTGCCCGTTCGACTGACATAAAATTGATCTACTTTCGATACGGATGGAAATTTACATAAAATTACTGCCAAGTCAATGATAGATCATAAAACTAATCGGGACACTTCTAACTATAGCTATACTTAGGCTCGCTTACGGTATCCAAAACCATATCCGGGCTTCACGGCAGGTGCATACGCGGGAGCAACGTACGTGGGCGCTAAGTAAGCAGAGGCTGCCTTCACGACTGGAGCAGAAGTTTTCACGCCTTCAGGGGCGTTGAAAACGGCATCAGCAGACTGTCCAGCCTTGGTGCCTGCAATATATTTGATAATGTGCCGTCGTATGCAGAGTATAACTATTTCGTATGCACGAATTTGTACGGCGATTTGGCCAAACGACCCTACTTAATTGTTGGGCAATGTTATCACATACTTCAATATGCAGTTAAATGTAAACGTTAATTCTCGTGTCGGAACACTATAATCACCTCGACGATAACTAATACGGCATAGTTAATATGGTTAATTAGGAACAATGGTAGATATCTTAGCAGTTTTTAGTAAACAAAGGTATCTAGTAGCGTCTTTCGACGTGTGAGTATGAACGCAAAAGTTGTCGACCACGCTTCATGTGCTCTATCCAGTTTCAACCAAATGTTCGTTAGAAGCCTTCGTATGATCAGCAAGCTAACCTAAATATGCTAATGATTTATGTTTATGCCAGCCTGCTCCAGGTTAGACAGTTTCTCTCAAAGCTAAAATATAGTATCGATTAGGATTTCTTAGTTTCATGGCTACTACCTGGCTCATTTGTGGATATGGTAGCACGAAATCCTGCTGCGTCCGCGACATAGTCAACCCTCCGGTAGATACCGTCAGCATCAGTATAACCGTACGAGCCTCTTTTGGCATTGTTGGCATCGGAAGTCTCTTGTCGGAACTGTTTGTTTCCGTACTCGTCTACCGTGTCGTAGCCGAAAGAATAAGGCTGAGGGGCATATACGGGTTCTTCGTGGACCTGCAAAAATAACAGTCTGGAGAATGAGCAATTGTCTTTCATTGGCCAGTTAACCTAGGACAAGCTAATCCTTCTTCTTCTATACGTAACTAACAAATCTAGTAGATCTCTATTCCGGACGGATTGATGCTGTACTCCTAAATGATCTACGATAGTATTTAAACGGACAGTTGTGGAGTTGTCCAAGGTTTGCTATCTACAGGATCCATCTGTATTCTTTAATCCTCGAAAAAAGACACTTCTTACATATTTGGGTAAGGACTCTGTATGAGATCAGCTACCTCTTTGACGTTGGCAGCTGCGGTATACAACGGCTGAAAGTGGGAAGACGTGGCATAAAGCGGCGTATAGTGATGTCCAGCTAAGGCAGTCGCCGACACCGCCGAAAGTACCAAAGCCTGAGCAGCGGAGGAACAAACCAGTCGCGATTAATTGATCGTCTTATTGTCCCAGACGCTTGATTGTAGAGAAAAGAAAGAAGGCCTATTACCTAGTGTGCTGTGAATCTCCACTAACAGCTGGGTTTACTCAATAGGCAAAGAGCAAGATTTTTTCTCGACTGAATCTACAAAGTTGTCAGGGACTAGTAGCATTCGGGTCATGTTCTCCGGTGTTTAGAATATACATCCAGGATCGAACCTTTTCGATCGAACCGAAAAAATTACGTCTTCAGGTTACAATACGTCGAAACGAGTATACATCGATTGTAAACAATAGAAAATTAGATAACGTGCTGCATAGGGGCCCTAAGTGCACAAACATTGTTTAAACTCCCCATCCAAAAACGGTATCCTTCAGTAGTATTTCACACCGCGTCAATTTTATGGTAATGCTCACTCGACGATTCACTGTCAGTTCTAGGTTCAGATTTCTGTGCTATCCCTCAGTTGCTGCGATAAGTGATCAAAATGGCTACACAAAGAGGTCACTATGCAGGGACGATATCATATGCGATTGTGTCTAATTGTCGGCCGGCTACTGTTAAATAACGAATTAAACAGCCTCACTTCTTCCTTTTCCATCGCTTCCAAAGGCCTTTATATAAGGTCAGTATGTCACAGTACCTTAAACATATTGTGCACTAGATTTGCCGCAAAGCTTCGTGAAAGGACCTGCTGCTGCTGCTGCTGTTTGTAACAAACAGATGAGTCAATGGATGAGGTTTGTCGCCTTACAACCCGCGCGAATGTAACGCCCAGTGAACAACGGCAGCCTTTTTAAGAGCTGCCTTGCATCTCACGATACCTTGCCACCCTTGCCTAGACTAGCCGGGTCCGCGCACGCGACTACTTCTGCTACTGCTGCATCGCTGACCGAACTTTTAGCGTCACATGGACATAAACTGCCAAGCGGCCAAAAAGGGAAACAGATTGCCCGACCGGTGAGGGTCATGTTGCGACGATACTATCATCGTTCTTACATATGACAACAACGACATTGACGACGATAGGCAAAGCAGTGGCGTTTAGAAGTTTGAGGGGACAGCTGGCTAACCACTTAGCGATACGCGACGATGAGGGACCTCGTCGTCGTGATGGCCTAAGAACGGCGAAAAAAACGAACAAAAAAGAGCAGGATGATTAAGGCAACTATGCACAGAGATGGTGAAGATTATCGTGCAATTTCTGTAGTAGATATATCTTCACGGCAGGGGCATTTGTTGGAACTGTTCTAAGAATCGGGGGTGCTGGACCATATGCTGATAAATGAGGAAACTAAAATAACGACACACACAGTGGTAAAAAAACGCCTATATGTGGCTCACTTTGCATTACGCATATTCACGATGTGTGGGGGAGGAGCTATTATTCTGGTGAGGTTTAATGCATGCTATATTTTTCAAGACATGTCATTTCCCCTACGTTTGCTTTATAAATTAAATTATCATTCCATTTATCAATGTTCATTAACGACACACAACTAGAACATCTTGGCTCATTAGATAAATGAACCCCTATACCGGTCAATTAATTACAGCGCAACGATTTGTCACGAAGAACAAAAAGAGACCTGTCAATACGGTAAAATGTAGGAGAAGAAGGAAGAATAGCTATATATCTACAATGACTTGACTTACCGAGATCCTATATTCGAGGGGTTCGTTATAAGAGTTGTAAGGATGGTCGTTAAATGTTCCTTATTCATAATGATGCTAATTAGCCTTGAAGAGTTTCTGATCGAATTGTAAAAGCTGGTTCTTTCGAAACTTCCATTGTTGCTTCTAGAAACTTGCAAAACTTTGTCTAAATAGAAACTGCTAATTATATAAGCATTATACAACGACAGTTGTCAGAATTATTGGCATACAATCATTGTTGCTATTCCCGTTACCATTTTTATTGCCAGTGGACAATTCCAGAGCAATATGTCTTGTTTTGTGTAACACCTGATGAAAAGTACTAAAATCTGCAACACGTCAAGTAATTAACCATTTTAATTATTTTTCATTATTACGAAAATTGGTAATTATTAAAAAAAAAAAAATCGGTCAGTCCTTTTGTGGGGCCTATACAAGGGTGTAAATGTGGCATGGTTTCCAAGAAATCGTCTAAATATTTCAGGTGGTAGTAGTAGTAGTAGTAGTAGTAGTAGTAGTAGTGACGTATTCAACCAAACTCGACCTTCTTCAGGCTTCTATAGCTATCTTATAGCTTCTATATACAGGCAAGTAGGCTGTAGCGCGTTTACGGGCCGTTACAAGTTTATGAATTATATGCTCCGCATCAATTATATCACATCCTTAAAAAACTTTTTTTTTTTTTAAAAAGTTTTTATATCTTATACCGTATACGCCTAGTCGATTTGCCCGTGATTAGGAGCAGTTCATTTGTTGTTTTGGCAGCTGGTGCGCGGCTAGAATGAACATAACCTGCGAGGGCCGGAATCTATTTTCTCTTTCCTCGATCATTGCATATCGTTCACCAATGATAACCTTTTCTTCTCCCTTATTTCTATAAGGCTTTTTATAAGAGCATAAGGCCTTGTTATTCTTCGCTCTCTTAGGTATTATCTGCTTCTATTTTCCGTCTTTAAGTGACTCATTCAAACCTTCGCACAGAAGCAAGGCAAACGCGCTAACTATCAGATCAATTCAAAACTCATTTTTATCTACTTTTTCCTAGGTTTGTAATACTCAGCTTGATCTCTAATCTTTAGGAGCTAGGTTTGGCTCGAGTGTTTTCGATCTGAGCGTATTTCTTAGCTGCACGCAGACCTGGAAAAGCATGCTACCGATTCGTCCCCAGTTCTGGAATAACGTCTCCTCCGAGCGTATGTTGACATAGTTGGATTGGAGGCTGTTTATTGAAATTATAATTTAATATATCAGATATTTATATGATTGTAATTTTATTTAACCGCATGTTACTTTTTAAGGGTACGTTGAAAGCTCAACTTCTTTTTATTTAGTGCACTGAACGTGTCTGAAGTTTCTCCTATAACGCCTACGTAAAACTGCGACGTTCATTTCAAATTCAAGCTGAATTTTTCATACATCTGAAATTTTTCAAATTACTAGCTAATCAGCTCGTCAGATTAGCATCATGATAAAAATTACTATAGTCCTATACGTTTTTCGACATGCTTTCATTGTCACAGCAAGCGCTATAGAAAAAAAAAACAGGGATCATTTTAGAGCACGTTTCCCTGCCAAGCGGTCTTCATAATTATCCCATGTTACCGTTTCGTGAAAAAACTATTATTTTAGCTCTCCCAAATTTCTGCAGATGTTACCGTGATTACGAGGTTGTAGGAATAGAGTGATAGATTCATTTCAAAGAGTCTTTTTAGAGGCGCGCGAACCAGCTATGGATGGGCTATCTTGTTCCGTTCAGTTAGAAAAAGGGGGCATCACCCATGAATAATTTTGTTCGCGGATCGTCACTTCATGAAAGATAATGATTTCACTAGGCGTAAAGGCTAAAAAAATAACCGGTAACATCAATTACCACACACGAATGACGGCGAAGTTTTATGTCCTTTTCAGGCCCACTTGAAGGCACTTCAATTTGTTTTTTTTTTTTGAAGACAACTTTGAAATTGGCGTTGGACGCTAGATCCCATAGGCTAGTACCACTCGGACGTAAAACAATAACGATCAGAGATCAAATTAAGGAACTGAGATTAGTGGGAGCATATTAATAATGGATGAAAAACAAACTTACAAGGAATCACAACGTATTTGTGCGTGCTTGGACAAATCGCCTTTTTCAAGACGAATCAGTGAAATAAAGATCCACAGCGTTGGCCTAAAATCGGGACGAACTCTGAATGTTATTAAATACCCTAAGCTTCTTTATCTCTACATATACCATCGCAGTTATACGATTCGCACCTTTAAAAAATTCCCAGTTTACCAGATACTATTTCATGTATCAAATTTTTATAAAAAGAAAGTTTGAAGCTATTTGTATATTCCGCGTACCCTTCAACAACCGACAGAGCATATTTCATACAACGGGACCCCCGCTGGACTTTTGAGCAAGACGTCTGGGAGTGGGCAAAAGTAAATGGACGTCGTTGAATGTAGTGTTCCGCTCGAAGTTGAACTAAGTTAACACCAAAAACTGATCTATAAACCCATCTGTAGGAAAAAGATCATACGTAAATGTTAGTGCGATGCTATTCGTAAAAAATGCACGTAATTGTTACCCAATGGTGAAGATTGATACATTTGCTAGTTTTTTATTCAAGCTAGAAAGCTAATTCTAATGTGTTTTGTTATTTTATTATCTATACTTTATATTGTGGCTGCACAAAGGGCCATTTGGTTCGGTCCATATTAATGTGACGCATTTTATTGGCCTGACTAGCGTATCTCAATTAATTGACCTTCGGAAAGTTCATTAACAACGCGCAGGCAGCGACGGTGCTGCTGCACTATTTCTAGACTAGTTTTACTTGTTTATAAGATCAATACTAACAATTCGTCTTTCGAACTAGATTTTGCTCATTTTGTGATCATACCCGAATTAATATGAGGTACTGGTATTACGATAATAGGATTGCACATCCCTTGATGGCAAACAGCCTTTTTCCTGAGGCGTTAATACAGCTGGAAAAGAAGAAAACGTAACGTAATAACAAGAATTTTTTCGAAAAATTTCTGGCCACTTAGCAGATGTATGAGGCTTGCAAAGGCTTGCCCAATTAAGTATCGTATAGTTCATATGACATCTAAACGCATTCTCAACGTCAACCTAATTTGTGAGGACGTCACGACTTCGCTCATCTGGCTGTCAGCTACATTTACTGCGTCAGGTCGCCATGATGTCATTGTGTGCATATATAAGGAGTAACTGCTTCGCTACCTAGCCTCTTGTCGGTGTTTCAATATACGCACTAGTTCTCAGGTTTTCGACCTTCCGGTTCGCGCGGAATTAATCTCCAAAAAAATCCATTAAAAGCAGAAAAAGCTAACCAAATATCGACGTTGATGTGAATGGACTATGACAATACCACGTTAGCTTCAAGCGAAATCCGTAATCGTTTTGTCTCTAAAATGGAAGTTTATTTCTACGATAAAAATTATACCTTTAACGGGAGTGAGACGTATACATACCCTCATCGTCATGGCAACTAGGCGTGCAATTTATTGCCTCGCGAATCGGGAGAACCGCGTTATGAGAGCCAATTGTGTAACTGTGCAAGGCAACATCCGAAAAGCTTCGCCTGAGCCAATTCTTACTATCGCGAGCTATCGTCGCCTTGACGTCTAGCTAATTGAGTTCTCATAACGTGCTGTTATGAGAACTCAATTAGCCCCTTTTTCTGTTGAAACGAGTGAAGCATATTTAGGTATGTATTAAAATCTCTTACTGCAGCAGTTGTTTTTGTGTAGTAATCATTTGGACCTGGAAGGAACTTCGGCGTTCGTGGCAAATGGTTAGTAGATCAATCCAGAAGAAAAGAAGAGTTTTATTATCTGAAAGTTATCACTGGGTTTACGCTGACGACCCGAGTGGGATATTGAGTCAACGTCAGAGCCCCAGCTCATTTAATATTTTCAAGTAAGAAAAGCAAATCTTTATGAATGACCAAACAGAAAATACAAATAGAGAATATAAATCGTAAATGCAGTTCTGCACCACAAAGCGTGTTAACGTTCGTGAGTCAGAATACGAAACATATTATTTACCACACACACACACATGACTATCATTTCTATCACGAGGCCCTCATCACTTGCCGTCACGCGTTCAATAGCCGTTAGCACGAAGCAACAGTGTACATATAGGATAAATGTACCGTGCGACGTCAACAG